CTTGTTATTTTAGCAGAGGAAGTATTTCGAAAATCATTATTTTTTACTGAAGTTACTAATTTCATACAATTTTTTTAGGAATTTATAGAGACTGCGGATATTTATACAAATTTTCATATTTGAAAACAAACATTAAAAATAGTTTTTTCTACTGCAGTTTCTATTTCATGGTATTTCAAACAGTTATGCAGGCCATAAATTAATACAAATTTGCAGTTTAATTAAAACGCAATGTTGTTGTNGTTATTTTAGCAGAGGAAGTATTTCGAAAATCATTATTTTTTACTGAAGTTACTAATTTCATACAATTTTTTTAGGAATTTATAGAGACTGCGGATATTTATACAAATTTTCATATTTGAAAACAAACATTAAAAATAGTTTTTTCTACTGCAGTTTCTATTTCATGGTATTTCAAACAGTTATGCAGGCCATAAATTAATACAAATTTGCAGTTTAATTAAAACGCAATGTTGTTGTACGAAAGTAACTTGGACTTTATTAAAAATTTGTTCCTGCTTTATGTTTTATGATTTTTTAAATACAACTATCGTATTGCAATTCCTAATACATGTTTCCTCGAAAGAACCAGATGAAAATGTTGTGTCACATATCCGTCGAGAATGAATGTGTCACACGTAATACTAGCGAAACCAATTTTTCGAATATGTTTCATAGGATTAGCGTTTAAACGGCAACCACCAAACAACGCTGACCATATTTTTGTTTGTGACAATAATTTTTGCAGCCTTCGCACAAAAGTTCCTTCAGTTTCGGGCACATGTTCTATGAACAAATAGTGACCACCCTAAAATAGAAATTATTTAATATTTTCTTAAAGTATTCTGAAAAGATTTTATTATTTGTATTGTATCTATCCCTTTGTGTGTGTGTGTGTCGTACATTTGAAGTCACGCAACAATCATAAAATTGATTTGAACTATGAATTCGATTTAAAATCAGGGAAATACAGTTAAACTTTATATATTTTCAAATGTCACACGTTATGGTACTATAATTTCTAAATAAATTGTGAAAAATCTAGAGTATATATATATATATATATATATATATATATATATATATAAAATATTTTTACAAGAAAAGATATTGTTTGTTATTGTTTAACAAAGAATTTTCAATTCTATAATATTTTGTTTATAAATTCAAGACGTAGAAATACGTTTCAATATAATTTATTTTTACTTGTTTAAGAATTATTTTAATCTCTTTACCGGTGCCAGAACTCTGTGAATCTCACGTAGTGTTGATTGCACCGACTTCACTGAACATAATGATCTCATTGTCACAACTACATCTATATATCCTGTAGGTACATCTTTTAAAGAACTGCCGTCACCAACTATCGCACGTTCAATAGTTACGTGCGAAAATTGCCACGAATGTCTCCCCTTAATTAAATACTCGGCTAGCCTCAGGTTGCGATCGACGGTAATCAAACGAGTATTGCTTGGATAAAATTGTATATTTTCACCTGTAAAGTTTATAATTAATGTGACAATCCACCGGAAATACTCTATCCAACAATTTCTTTTCCTAGTTAGCGATATTGTTTGAAGTATCTCAGTTTTTGCATTTATAGCATAGAAAAATTTTTAAAAAGCTATAAAATGAAAGGCTGCGCGTGAAAGATAGGATATTAAATAATTAAATAATTTATTAAATAAAAACCATTGTAAAATTATTGAATGTCTACAAATTTCTTGATTATAATGATGAGCTACTTTATTTTATTTTATTTGGTGTCGCTAATGATTTCATAATTAATACGACCACATTAAAATAAATCGCAAATACAAAAACAGATTAATTATTATTAAGATCTATACAAATCTAAATTGCATGAATTATTTGATCAAAAATTGAGGTAGTCGACGTAAACGTGCATAAATCATTAAAATATTGTGGTTTCTTTTAAAAACTCGCAAAAATTACCTATTTTTGTGAGAAATCGGAGGACTGATATCTTAGATCCGGATTAAAATCACAAGATTATCGATCATTGGTTAATGTGTGTTTTGTTAAGTGTTTGTTACTGTGTGAAATTTGCGACTGGTTGTGCATGTAGGATGCCCACCCGTTTTAACACCGATCTCGAGCACACGGATGCAACCCATGGACCGCAGTCTCTCGTCATTAGAAATTGCATTTTGCAACACTGCGAACAAACGTTTTCTATAGGGAAGCGCGAGTTCTGCCCATTCCTTTTCAAATCCTGTTAGGTACGCTTTATAAATATGTTTCTGCAAGTACGACCATTGCTGCGCCATCCAGATCACCATAATCGTAAAAAGAAGCGCCAAAATTCCGTAATTGGTGAACATGTCACGAATCCACAAGTCACTATTGCTCATTTTGTTAAAATAATACTGTATACGTCGCTTGAGTGACACCGTACTTACCCCTAAATTAATACTTTGTCATGAGACTACGAATATTGTTTATAGAATTATCGAAACAGAAAATATGTTTCTGCCTAGCTTAAGTGTTTATAAATCCGATTTTGCATAAAGATTTATTTTAAAGTTATATTCTTTCTTAACACTTTTTCTTAGTATATAATTTGGTTTCTTTTCAATTGTCACTTAGCGCGCTTTTGATTTATTATTTTGTAACTGTTAACGTTCATATTGTTTATGATAGACCACCGATCTACGATTTTGTTACATCTGAAGTTTGGACTCATACTATTATTTATTCGCGCGGCGTAAACACTTTTCTCTTCGATAAGCTAATCAATTTTGCGAGACGATAACACTCGTGACTATACTTTGTGCATGCGTAATGTTTTTTTCAGAAAAATACTGCTAAGTTGAGTACAAGTTAGGCTAAGGCCACCGAGGCTTATTTTACTAGAATAAAATCGAGTATTTTAAAAAGAACATAATTTTATTTTTTATTCAAAATTAATTTTTGATTCTAAATTCGCTTTTGAATTCATTCGAATGTTATACGCTGTTTTAAAAAAGAAAGCGTATTAGGGATATACATAGTGACATAACGAACACAGTGTCAACATATATTTTTAAAATATCTTTAATTCAAATTTTTAGATTT